AGGAGGGTGTTGCTGTCGGAGTCCCTAATGGGGGTAAGCTGCAGAGATTGATTTATGGTTTGTTTTGGACTCACATGGGTGATTACAAGGCAGGAGAGGAGCGCTACATCTGTGTCTCTATGGGCTAAGCCACCGTCTCAGGCAGTTCATTTCCTTCCCTGAGGGATATGCACCAGCCCTGCAGAAAGCAACGCCCCTTCCAGCAAGGACCAGGACCAGGGTGCCTCATTTGGGGAGCGGGGAACAGAGCACAGAGCCACGAGCCGCAATCTGCAATGCAGGCATCCCTGTCCTCCAACCCCTGCTTCCTCGCCCTGCCCCATCCCTCGCTTTGGGACCACTTCCACTTTGGGACCACCTCCGCCACGCTCCTGCCCTGCTCCAGTCCCATCGCTCCAGCTCTGCCTGAGCAAGCAAAACCAGAAGGGTTGCAGGGCAAGGTGTGAGGGTCCCAGGGAGAGGTGAGGGTCCCGCTGCCCCTGCCCACCCTGCCTGGGCCACTCGCCTCACCCAGCTCATGGGGACGAGGTGATGTCAATGTTGCCCCTGCTCCAGGCAGGCGTGGGGATTCTGTGACCGGTAAAAGAAATGGGGAAAAAATCACTGCCCTGTCACCGCAGCAATTATACCATAGCCATGCAAAGATGCAAAACCCTCCCAGCTGGGCTTTCCAGCTCCAAGTACTATGCTGAGGCAGATACCTTCCCAGAAGCGATAAGCATTTCTGTTCTTTGCGTCTTAATTCCTTTAACCTCAGTCTCCCAAGCTGCCTTCACTGGGCACCTTTTGCACTAACCCGTCTTTCCAAGGGCCCAGATCTGTGGATAGCTTTGACCAACTGGTGACTGATTTCATCTGATGGTCTCCTATTGAAATACTCAGCTGGCTCATTTCCCTTAAAATTAAGCTGGCCCAAACCTTCCCTGCAGTTGATATATTGAATTCAGTCCCTGTGACAGGCTCAAAAGTGACTGCCGTGCCATCGCTAAGTGTTGACAGATTTATTCTGCCAGAGAGACGATGCCCGGGAGCACCGGAGCCGCCCACAACAGGGTCTCTTTGACTTTTCCATTGTGTGTTCAGGAAATTTCCTTTGGGCCAGTCCTGCTGGATTTTCAAATTCGCTTACCATGAGCTGCTCTGTAAGGCAGCAAGCCGTACCGAGGGGTGGGGGAAGCTGCTCTGTAAGTCCCGGTTAATAAATTTCAATCTCTTAACCATTACTTACATGCCCTTTGCTCCATTATGGTTCCAGCACGGCAAGAGCAAGCAGCACTATGGGATGCCTGGTATTCCTTTGGGATAACCGTGAAGCCCTCTCTGCTCCGGCACAGCTCGCCTTGCTTTCAAACCAGTGCTGGCCCTGTATGTGGGGTTGGAGTAGAGGGGAAGCAGCCCAAACCCCACTTTGAGCATAGGGGTGTCCCTAAAATCTCCCCTGAGCCCATGTGAGGGTCTGCGTTGCAGAAGGTCTCTCAAGTGTGGGTAATATCAACTCGAGGGGCCGTCACGGCTTCGGTTAAGCGTGGGCTGGCTTCGTTTCCCCTGCTCGCCTGTCACGGTCCCTTGTGCTGATGCGGTCTGAGGCTCTTCTCCAGCAGTGGGTTTTTTGACATGATAGACAGCAGCAAGTCAGAAATATCAGGCAAATCCCTCTGAGCTGATGGGTTACTCATTCGGATAGGCTGTGCCATCTCCTCAGGTGCTTTCCCAGCCTGGCATGTCAACGCGGATGAAAATCCCCAGGGAGAAACCTCTGGAGAGAAACCCATGTGCTCCTCTAACGCCTTTCCATTTCAGCACATCGCCGGTGGGTTGGTTGCGTGCTTCTGCTTGTTTGCTCGCAAAAGAGGAAAAGAAAAAAAACAGGCCGTGCATATGTTTGGGGCTATTTTGACATCTGTGTGGCCAAGGCCATCTGATCTGCTCTCCTCAAAGGCTCGGAGAGGCTGGAGATGGGTGGTGGCCGGCCCTGGCTCCCACGGCTGTGCGTGCAGTAGTGCTGCCAGGAGATGAGGTATCTGGGTCCATTTGCATTTGTCCCACAGGCAGTTGTACGTGGAA